TACCATCAAAAAAAAGCTGAGCCTACTTGCTCAGCTTTTTTTTTATTCAGGACAATTCACACAGCGCCATCTAGACCCAAGTTAAGCTAGCTAAAGCTTGTGTTATGAGTACTAGACAACTGATACAAATACATAGATTTTTTTTTCGTAAATACATACACATTATACATAGAAAACACCCAGACAAACAACCATACTCATGAATACAAATGTTTGTGCCGTGCGAGGAATCGGACCCGCGACCATCGTACTTAAAGCGGTGTGCTAGACCACTAGACCACCGAGGTCGTCAAATCATTCAATATTTACCATTCCAAACAGAAATCCGACTGTACATTTTTGTTAGAATTTCAAATCTTGTTTACCATTCCAATTACGTAAGAAGCCAATAGTAATTTTTTGTCAGGATTTAAATGTTTCAATGCTAATGAAACTAAACCATACATTTTCAATACAACACATGCTCCCTGTCACCCCCCACATTTAAATGTTTCAATATTATACTAATGAAACTAAACCATACATTTTCAATACAACACATGCTCTAACATTTAAATGTTTCAATACTATACTAATGAAACTAAACCATACATTTTCAGTACAACACATGCTCCCTGTCACCCCCCACATTTAAATGTTTCAATACTATACTAATGAAACTAAACCAAACATTTTCAATACAACACATGCTCCCTGTCACCCCCCACATTTAAATGTTTCAATATTATACTAATGAAACTAAACCATACATTTTCAATACAACACATGCTCCCTGTCAAATTTAAATGTGTGTACTATACTAATAAAACTAAACCATACATTATACAACACATACTCCTGTCACCCCCCACATTTAAATGTTTCAATACTATACTAATGAAACTAAACCATACATTTTCAATACAACACATACTCCCTGTCACCCCCCACATTTAAATGTTTCAATACTACACTAATGAAACTAAACCATACATTTTCAATACAACACATACTCCCTGTCACCCCTTTAAATGTTTCAATACTACACTAATGAAACTAAACCATACATTTTCAATACAACACATGCTCCCTGTCACCCCCCACTTTACAGGACGATCTAAATAATGCAATAAGGCATAATAAGGAAAAAATTCTAACATTATTATTTACAACGAGCGCACACTCACCCCATTGAGCAATACGACCTGCCTGTTTTGTTATAGCCATTTCCTTTTACTGCTACAGTATGTTCTCTTTAGGAAAATACCCATATAAATAGTGCATTTGAAAATGTGTGTTTAATATCAAATTATTAATTTCTTTTTGGAATATTATTATGTTCTTAAATTCTCAATCATATAATATAATATTTGGCAGCTTCGCTGATCTAGTAGACTTTTTTTTAGTTTAAATACAATTTTCCACAGACATATTCGTCCGTGCCTTTTTTTAATTTACTTTAATATTATTATATTTATTTAATTTCCACTTTTGTACAACTCCAGAGGACCATTTACAATTTGTCTACAGTGGCAAAGAATCTGGCCTGAGTTGATAACATGCAGTGTCACCTATTTTTATTAGGAGCCAGTTACATTTACCAATATGCATATACAATTATATAAATCTTACATATACAATTATATAATCTTAGTAGTAACTAATTTCACAGTTTTTATTACATTGATCTAGTAGGTTAGCACACCGCCTTACTCCTAATGGTCACGCGTTTGATTCCTTTCTCGGTAGCGATATTTGTATTCATGAGTTTGATTGTTTTAAATTGTCTGGGTATTTTCTATGTATTTAAAAAATAAGTATTTATATCAGTTCAGTCTCTACTAGTCGTATAGACGTGTAGGTGTTGTATAAAATATTTTGTTATTTACTGTCGTTTGTTTATTATCAATAGGACGATTACAATTGTTTTATTGCCTAAACACATACAGTAAGAGAACATTACATACTTTTTTTTAACCATTCAATCGTCAACAAAAAATGTGAATGAGCGTATATTACAACCACTAATTTGTGTCAACAAAAATAATTTATGAACATGTATATATTGTTTACCACTACAGTTGCGTAAAAAATCACCCTGTACATTAGACAAATTGAAAGCAATGAAGTCGAAAGCGTAAGTTCTCAATCATTCAACTTAACGACAATCCAGAAGAGGGTAACGGCTACGTAGATTATAGAATGCTTCTCCACAGATACGGCGATTTTGTTTTATTACTAAACATACTAAAACACATAGATATTTTTAATTGTATATTGATATGTATATTGATAATAAATATCATCATTTCTATTTATGTAGATACGATTAATATAAGCTTTATTGGATAGTCTTTTTATTTGTTAATATTTTGATAGTAAATAGAAATAATCTTTATGTAAATAAAATTACTATAAGCTCTATTGGATAGTCTAGTAATAGTTTTTTTTATTTTACCACTTATTAAGAATGCAGGCTCTTCACAAGAAGAATGAACAATAAACATTCGTGTAGCTCTTTTAAATGAATGCTGTTCGATCGATCCAAATAGAGATCGAAATTACGACGGCCTGAGCCGAGGTTCGAACCTCCAGCGGTGCCCTCAGACTAAAGTCGTATCCGTCAGGCGAGAGGTAGCCTTCAGTCGCTCCATAAGTCCTTTCGCGGGTTTTCAATATTATAAATGCGAAAGTATATCTATCTATCTCACTTTTACGCCAAAACTGAACTGATTAAAATGAAATTTGGTACACAGATAGACCCTAAGAAAGGAAGTAAGCTATTTTTCAATTCCAAAATTGGTTACAAAGGGGTTGAAGGGAGCGATGAAATGTTTTGTTTTGTGAGTATTTCTAAAAACTAGACTGCTTGAAACTTTCTTTTTAGATTGGTATTGCGACGACGGAAAATGGCCTGACGGTATGACCCTGGTCCCGTGGAAACTCGGAAAATGTTTAGTATGGGATGCCACGTGTGTGGATACATTGGCACCAAGTCATGTGTCTGGATCGTCCTCTCGTCCTGGCACGGCAGCAACACAGGCGGCAATTTTAAAAAGACGAAAATATACAAATCTGGAGTTTCGTATTGGTTTTTATCATTTACCGTGGAGACGTTGGGCCCATGGAGCCCGGAAGCCAAATTGTTTTTAACATGTATTTCAGCGCGGCTCATTGAGGTCACTTGTGACCCGAGAGCTGGTAGCTATTTTGGTCAAAGGCTAAGTATGGCCATTCAAAGAGGCAACGCTGCCAGTATCTTGGGTACGCTGCCTCGATGTGCCGCGTTGGATTACAATGATTGTTTTTTGTAATTGTTTGTATTGAATTATGAAATTGATTGTTATTTAAATATAAACTAATATAACATTCGAAGTTTGTAAAAATTTAGCACTTAAGGAGGTAAAATAAATAAAGAATAAAAGTTTGTTTCCATACAAGTTCGTCATTTTTGAAGCTAGAACGATGAAACTTTTTCTTTGGGTTTTTAGGTTAGATTATTAACATTGTAGGCTATCCAAGGTCACTATATCACGCGGACGTTGTCTGGGGCACAGCTAGTATTATTATATATCTATGAAAATTTGCCACATCCATAGATCTGTGTTATACCACGGTTCATTGTTTAGATATCCAGTAAGCTATAACAAGTTAATAGTGCAAAAACACGTCGATTGTCGACTCCAGCGACTAATGGCCAGTCTTAAGCAATTTAGAAAGTTCTCTTTTTAACCATCACCGAATAGAGAGGAGAGTAAACCGTTACAATCTTTTTCTTCAGTATTTTTTACCCAAGTTACATGGTAGGGCAACTTTTTTGATACTTTTACAGTTTTTTATATATTTTTGAATTGTATGTTTTGACGTTCGGTTTTTTATATACCGATTTTTTTCGAATGTCATATTTCTTGTATTTTCGTTTTTGCTAATGAACTGAATATACATATTTTAACTCACCTAGAAACATGTCTCATATTAAACCAGATTAATACAGTCCTTCCATCACACCTACTTTCATATTTACAATACTATTAAAGATACAAATACATAAAAATCAAAACCTTGAATATTTCTGATAAAAACCATTGTCACCATATAACAAAAAAAACTTAACAAGTATTTCAATAAAATTTATCAATACCATCAAAGTGGTAACGCTTGCTTTTTGTAACGTTTGGTAATAATGAATGGGATCGCTTTGTGCAACGGTTGGACATGAGTTAACCGGTAACACGATAAGCTTTGACTGATTTCATGTATTCGTGTTACTGTTTGTGAATTGAATCCGAAATATTCAATATTGTTAAAAAATTCCAAACCTCCGTGTATATTTTTTATCGTATGCAGTCTAAGCTCTTAAACGTAAACTCAAATAGTGCATATATTCACTCTTAACTTTAAAGATAAGATTTTTGCATGAAAGAGTAATACACATCCATACTTACAAACTTCGACTTTATAATATTAATAAGATTAAGTTGATGCTTCAATTGCACTAGTGATAAACCATCTTCTTTACATGTCTTAGTTGACTGGATCATTCTATCTTCATTCTGTGTTCATATCTCATCTAAATATATTCAAATTCAAATTTAAAATTAAAAAAAAAAATATTCTTGTAGGACATTTTAGCCGCTTATGAACGTAATTTTTTTTATATTATAATTTTTTCCCTATCTATATAAACGGATTTAACTTTTTTAAGATACATATATTTGCGAAATTACTTTTAATAACTATTTATGTTAAATTTCATTTAAATTGAATAATCAAAAATTAGGGATTTTGTTAGCAATTTAAATGCAGTGCAAACATAATTCTCTACAAATTTTTAATGGACCATTTGCAAAGTGGTATAAATTCATTAATTTTTCTATACCAAATATACAAACCATATCGCGAACAAATTCCTCATAGTGTCCCATGAAAATGGAGTTGACAACCAGTTCTCAACACGTATATACGGCGTCATAGTGAATTAAATTCGTACATCACCTCGATTGAAACATTGAAATAACAAAATGTTTACTAAAAATATTATTCCTATCCGAAACAGAAGCATCATATACTACTTTAGAGTCCCTATGATCATTCTAATGATATGCGGCTTCAATTATAATGTATTCAGTTTGAGAAAGACTATTAAAAATTTAATTAAAATGTATACATTGATTCTAGTTGCCATCGTTATGTACGCTACAATAATTTGCTGTAACGATCAGGAAATATCTCAATTCTGGTCATTATTCGAGTACACATCATCCACAATTGTAGTTCTAGTCTTAAAAAATAATGTACATCCGTTTTTTAACAAATTACTAAAACTTGACCCATGTTTGCGTATAAATAAGACATACTACATCAGTTCAAGGAACAGGTTTATAATTATTATAATTGTTATATGGCTCATAAGGATCGTTTATACAGCATTTTATTGTGCTTCATACATATGTTATACATCTCTTGTGGCGTATTTGATCAATTTGTTTTCATTGTTGGCTCTCGATGCTAATCGCGTTTGGCGATTCGCTATCTACGATGAAATTAGACATCGATTGAAAACTCTACGAATGAGATTGCAAGAATACGACGCGAATTATTATTTGTACGTGCTGAATAAAAAAAGTGTAAAAGAGAACAAAATGAGATTCTGTTTGCAGTTGTATATAAATATAGCGGATACTATAGATGTAATGATACCGGAGTTGCACGCGTCTGTAAGTTATGTTTATTAATGATTTGAATACGTTTACTTTTTTAAGAATATTTTTTTTCTGCTATTCTATTCTATTTTAGAATAGAATAATACCTACATGAATAAAAATATTTTGATTTGATTTGATTAATTGTCATTATTCATGCATTTTTATCCCAGTTTAAGCCTGTAAACTAGGATAAAAACCCATGTAGGTCTATTACAGACTCTTATAATATGTCAAATCTACCGTCAGTTCGGTGTGCTTAGAGGTAAGAAACACTGTCAAAAAACTATTTTCTTATTATTTTCAAATGAGCTTGTACATGATTACAAAAATATAGATTCATTTTTAAATTCAATTAAGGAGAAATTCACTAAATTCTCCTTAATTGATTTTAAACTGATGGCCACTACCATCAGTATATGCTATTGCATTTTGGTAAAAGGAAATAATTTAAACATTGGCCGTAACCCGAACAGACAAATCCTCACAAGTAGCAACTGTTCACGAGTATGACGGATTATGTGTAATATAATTATATTTCCTTGTAGCTCTTCTGTAGCGTATTCTGTGGCGTACCAAAGCTCATAATAAACATGTATCACGTACTGCTGGTCATCGAGAATGATGTAAGTATTATATATTTCATTATTATACCTTCACGCCTGCTATCCTAGATAGAGTAGTCAGAGGTATTATAAATATATATATTATAATTCAGAGTTGGTTTGTTAACGGTGTTTCCATTACCAGTATAAAACTAAGTCGCTTCCGCTGTCTCTCCCCTTAGATCTTTTAAACTACGTAACGGATTTTAATGCAGTTTTAAGCAATAGATAAAGTGATTCAAGAGGAAGGTTTATATATATAATATATGTACGTCCGTATTAAAAAAGTTAAGAAGCCAAAAGATTTGTAATGCTCCCGTGCGAAGTCAGGGCGGGTAGCTAGCTGTAAATAAATAGACATTAACAAGGAAGAGGCATGCAACAATCATAGAATCGCTACGCACTCGTTCTTCTTCGTTCGTCTATCATATCATCAACAAGTAACACAGATCAAGGTCTTTTTATTAATTTCCAGTTGCCGTATGAATCACTCGGATTTATGCTAATACATATTTTCCAAATATCAATATTTCTATTCTCTCCATGCGTGGTGGCCGAGCTATACGTCTACGAGGTGGAGAAGATAAGGCTAATCTTGATGCATAGATTAATTCAGGAAGAAGGTAAGCTACAATAACATTTAAGGAAATAAAAAAAAACGTAAATTTATTTTAATTGAAAATTAAAATAATATTGATTTAATTTTCAATGAAAAAAAATTTGCTTAATGAAAGATATATCGTTACATGGTATAAAATAAAGTCGCTGTCGCTGTCTGTACCTATGTAAGCTTAAATATTTATAACTACGCAACGGATTTTGATTAAATAAGGTCATTTTCACCACTAGGCGATTGCTAGTTGTAATCTATATATGTATATATATAACTTAAAGGTGACTGACATAGTGATCTATCAACGCAAAGCCCAAACCACTGGATGGATCGGGCTGAAATTTGGCATGCAGGTAGATGTTAGGACGTAGGCATCCGCTAAGAAAGAATTTTGATTAATTCTATCCCCAAGGGGATAAAATAGGGGATGAAAGTTTGTATGAAACTTTGTCAATATTAAACCGATCGGGCTGAGACTTTGCATGCATAAATCTACTATGACGTAGGCATCAAAGAATTTTGATAAATTCCATCCCTAACGGGAAAATCACGCGAACGAAGCCGCGGGCAAAAGGTAGTGTAATATAAATTGGACTCCATTTTCCACAATCAGCCTCACATCTGAACCGTACCGTATGTGTAGAGCCCAGACTACTAAAGTAGCCAGCCAAGCTCCTCCCAGAAGCGCAGAAGTTTCCTGGTGTCTACACGGGCTTCACGGAGCGACCTCACCGATCTCTAGTTTATCTAATTTGTTTTTTTTTTTTCAGATGATAAAACCATTCGAGATATAGAGCTATTCCTCCATTATACAAGAGTAAGAAATTTCCGTTACAAAATCTGGAGGATGATTCCCGTTAATCTATCGTTTCCGTTGGAATTTATCAATTTATGTACCACCTATGTTATAGTTGTTGTTAATTTTACTCATTTGTATGGATAAATTATTAATATTATATAATTTTTGGAACTTGAGTTAGTTTAAGTAAAGTTTTCATAGAATTGGTATTTCATCAAACTTATGGCCGAATTGATGGTAAGTGGCAGCACTGGCTGCCGTCACCTATATATAGTACATCGACGAATGTATGTTCTCTTTACTTTTTTATCTGTAGTTATGTATATCTGTACATTATCGCATCCCTACCACTTATATTAATATAATAATAATTTATATTAATAAACAATTAAGCAATAATAACATTCTTTGTACAAGTTAAATAGAAATTATCATAATTAATTCAAGATTGGAATTAAAATTTCATTACTATAATTTAAAAGTTCAAAATATTACAATTCTTTTAAAACAAAGTATTCGTGTTCTTTTTTTGAAACCCTAAATCGTAAGAATTTGCGTGAAATTCTAACTAATCAACGATGTAGTAATAATAAATCTCAATACAATTCCTTAGAAAATTAAAAAACATAATGGATTTAAAATTCGAATTAGAATTCCATTAAATAATATAAAAATTCAAACGATTTGTTTTTTTTTTAAAGAAACTATTCGTGTTCTTTTTTTGAAAGCCTAAATAGTAAGAAATAGCGTGACATCGACAAGATAATAGTAACAAATCTTAGTACAAGTTTAATAGAAAATTAAAAATCATAAGTCATTCAAAATTCGAATTAGGATTCTACTACCATGATATAGAGTTTTTTTTCATATTCGTCCATCTCCTTTTCAATGATGGAACAGGCAAAGATCCTTAGAGCGTACAGCCTAATGATATAGTTTCTAAATTTTTGTTTTTTTTTAAGAAAGTATTCGTGTTTCTCTTTCGAAACCATAAATCCGTAGATAACAAAAGTTCTCATAGAAAACTCATTGAGTTATTGACAGCGTTTGAAGTGGGGAGTTTGATGAATCGACTGCACATCGCCGTAACGATTGTAAACTCCGAAACTTGAGAGCTTCTCAATTCATTGAATTATAAACCTCTTTGATATTTATACTGCTTATCCGATTAAAAAATTCTTGCGAGTTATTTTTTTTTATTATTTATATTAAAAAAATCTGGAGTTTGTCTGCATGTACCATTTGCAAATTATTAAATAGAATTAAACCATTATCAACATTTATAAAATGTGGTCTGTTAATGTTAATTTTTTTTCCAAGAAAAAAAAAACAAATTCATTAGCTTAGATTATAGATTAGATCCAACTATATATATTTTTTTAAATCGTATTATATTTTCAGCCAGTATCATATTTTGCTACAGAGTATAAACAAAGTGATTTTCTTTCATTTATACAACCTCAAACCCTTGCAATTGTAAAATATGATGGTTTCTTAAACAGTCATTAGTCAGTGTGTTTGTATGGTCGACAGATGAAGGGAGGGAGGCGGCGGAGCGAGAAGTCTTAATGTTACCTCTTATACGGTAATGATGGTATTGTAACTCATTAGGGATTGAAAGTGAACATGTCATTTTAAATGATTGCTCAGAAATGTAAAGCACCCGTTATACGATAAATAGACCGTTTTAATAAATTTCGTCTGAAACTTGGTCAGAATAAGAACTGTTGTAGTAATAAGAAAAACAGACTAGGTAAACGGAGAAAATATATTAATATAAACTACTGACAATTAGGAATAGAATGAAAGGAATTGAAGTATCAAAAACAAGAATGTAATATAAAAGAACTATAAATTTTAAATAGAAATTTAGAATATAAAATACATAACTGATTAGCCAGTTACAACAAGAACGAAATAATATAATTTTATGTAACAGACTTGATATATTATTTTTTATAGTATAATAAAAATTGCATTAAAAAAATATATACTATTAAATAAATGATTATAGATTTTTCCATAATACTATATTTTACTAACAATCTTAATTTTGGACACGTTGGTATATGGACGTATGTTTTTTTTTCATATCACTATAATGAAAACAAAATTAACAAAATAATTTATGGTAAATACTAAATACATTTTTCGTTTTTTTTTTAATATTGAAACCGATTATTTATAGCATAATAGTCGTTTTCTTTTGTATAATATATGCTTATATTTCTGTAAATAGCCCGCTAAGGGAAAATAAACAATCTAAAAATCCGTAGAATAAGCATCTTATGGATTCTTTATAGCAACATTAAATGTTGCAAGTAAATAAAAATATTCAATTACAATAACACAGTCGCTTTATATTCATACAACATTGTTTACCTGGCGTCGCTTGAGCAGCGCACTCAATATGTTGCTTTCAAAGATATTGAAACGTCTCAACTCTCAAGAGCAGTCGAGTCAAATACCGTTGTACGCGGAATGTCATTGTGATTTTATTGTATGAATTTTATATTAATTCCACTACTATGATTTTACGAAATATACCAAAATTTGCTATTCATTCATATTTGAAAACTGTGCTCGCGGTTTCACCAGCTTTTATAGACTACTAGCTGCCCGCGACTTCGTCCGCGTGGAATTTAACTTTATTTTTCTAAAATAAAAGTAGCCTAAGTTGTACGCAATTTTTTATACTCCAAGGTAATAAGGGTGATCTTATCCAGAAATAATTTATATGGCAAAAGAACGCCTGCCAAGTAAGCTAGCATAATATTGAAACTTTCTAATCCAAGATAATCTTTGATTGGAAAACCTTTTAAATTTACCTTTTTAATTATTGATTTTATTTATATTAGTAAAATCCTATTATTCCAATAATACTCCACTCTAATAATTATTATTTGCTACGTCATTGATAATTGAACCCTATTAACTCTAGACACAATGAACATTTTGGCTGCATAGATATACTCGTCGAAATTTTTGAATATCGAATCTTATATTTTAAAAGACTACCTATATGTGTAAATTTAAAAATGGAACGATATTTTGGCGGGATATCTGTTATTATGTTTGACAAATTACATTTGACGGCCTCGGTGGTCTAGGGGGTTAGCACACTGCTTTACTTCCGGTGGTCGCGGATTCAATTCCCCGCACAGTGCAAACATTTGTATTCATGAGTATAATTGTTTGTATCGGTCTGAATGTTTACTATGTATATTATGTATGTATTTACAAAAAAATATCTAAGTATTTATATCAGTTGTCTAGTACGCACAACACAAGTTCTCCTTACCGTGGGACTAGATGGCGTTTTGTTTGTCTAAGATAATTTTTTTCATTTATTTAATTGTAATTGCAATATATTATTTCCCTCATATTGCCGATACTACACTTTTTATATAGATTTATTACTTTTTATAATTTGCCATGTTTCAATCTCCGAAATGGCTGAACCGATTTTGACGGGCCTTTTTTGAGTAACTTAGGCTACTTTTATTTTAGAATATATTTTTATTTAAAAAAAAAAACTTATAGTTTTCACGTAGACGAAGTCGAACAGCTAGTAACAAATAAATGAAAGACTAAGAATCTAAATTCCTAACAAATCTGTTTAAAAAAAAAACGATTTCTCTATCAACGTAAACCCGTAGTAGCGAAGTTTCAATATACAATTTCTTCGGCAGCCCGTCAATATTTCAATAGTAAGAAAGTTCCGCGCTCGCATTAAGTGATTAGTCCCATTTGCGAATAACAGCTCCGAACTGGATTCAGTTCCGTTGCATTTGATTAATTTGAATAATTTATGAGACACAGTTCTGGTAAGTTAGCAGACATTTCGGTGTGATATGTTAGTATTGTTTAACATATACATATAAATACATGGGCATGTCTGCATGTACACTGTATAATGCAGTAGAGTAATCGTATGTCGAGTTAAGTGCGTAGCGGTTTCTATGTTGATTGTCGCATGCCCAATCCTTGTTAAAATCTACTTAAAACAACATTTATTTAAAAGAGCAACACACAAGTTTCTTGCTCATTCTTCTTGTGATGAATCTGCGTTTGGAATGAGCCGTAGAATAAAAAATTGACTATTCAAAAGTGCTTATATTGAGTTTATTTGAATAAAGATTATTTCTATTTCTATTTCTAGTGATATCCAAATTATAGAATAGAAAATCATTTATTCAAATAAACTTACGTTGTAGCACTTTTATATTTTCATCACAGGCAATTGTAAAATATAAAAAAAATCTATTAATGCTAAGATAGAACCACGACACTTCCGGTCTATAAGTAGGTAAACCTCTAAACAACAACGTCTTATGTACTCGTAATTTCACATATTCAAATTCAAAATATCTTTATTCATGTAGGTCTATTACAGACTCTTATGATATGTCAAATCTACCGTCAGTTCGGAATGATTCCGATATGAGAACTGACAAGAAACTCAACTCGTATTCTTTTCAAATAAATGTTGTACATGTTTACAATACTACAGATTCATTTTTAAATTCAAATTTGGGAGAATACAGTGACCACCAGCATATGGTATTGCAAAAGCACAAACATACAAATACACAAATTATAAGATATGCATACAGACTGACAATATAATCGGTATTGAGTCACAAACTCAGTTTATGACCACTATAACCCCATATAGATATCACCTGTCTGCCATTTGAGTTTACTACCATTTGCATTATGAGATAGTTCAGTTTATAATAAAACCTATTTATGCATCCTGATACTAGTATAAGTAACGAAATGAAATTATATTTATTCAATAGATGTTAAAAAATTAAAACACAACTCAATCATTGCAAGAATTACAAAAAATAAAAGAATAGAATAGAAAATCATTTATTCAAATAAACATTGCAACAATTTACAAAAATCTATAAAAAAAAAGTATTATACATTAATAGTAATAATATATTTATCCAATAATTACAAAATTTTCTCAACATTATTCACCGAGTCCAACTATTAATTTAGTCATATAATGATAAATGTTGTTAAATTATCCATAATATTTTTTTTATGGATGATAATGGAATGGATTTGTTTTAGAAAAAAATATTTTATTTTATAAAAATAAAGTTAAATTCCACGCGGACGAAGTAGCA